GCCAATCAACCTAAGCTGCATGTCTTTGGACTGTGGGAGGAAGCCGGAGTACCCGGAGAGAACCCACACAGGCAAAGGGAGAACATGCAGACTCCACACAGAAAGGCCCCAGGTCGGTCGGGGCTTGAACCTGGAACCTTCTGGTTTTCCCCCAAATAGCTGTTCAGCAGTGGTGTTAACCCACCAAGATCCTTAACATCTGATCTTGCAATAAATTTTGATAATTAATGAGAGGCAGCTAAAACACAACACAGAGTGAAGTTGAGGAAAAAGGGTTTGAAGTTTTCAGTCAACTTTGTAACTGGCAGAAACTGTGAAACCATACTTTTATATTTTTTGTGGTATAAATAAAACATGTCCTTGCTTCTTTAGATTTATACCCCTGTAGGTTTTAACATTTTACAGTAATGTAAAACTTTATTAAAATCCCATCATCACAGAGGGTTTACAAAAACATTAAAATCTTTTTTTTTTTTTTTATTGCCCATGAAACTCTTAACATTGTGTGATTTATGTGTGGACCTATTTAAATGGGTTGGATCCAGGAAATTATGATTTAACTATTAAATATTTGTCTTCCATGTTTCTGAGAGTAAGATGCTGACCTCTGGTCACTGTACTGAGGTCAATGAAAGACGATTAATGCAGAACACTGATTCTGAAACACTTAATTAGTAATTTTGTCCCTTTTGAATGTAGAAAAACTGTAGCATTGTTAGAATGTAAATTTAAGTCACATAAAAAGATCATTTAAAGAGCATCCCTCCCAACAGAAGCGTGAACAAACCCTCTATACATTTTATTTGCATTGTTTAGCATTCAGAAGAATTTTCATCCTGTTAAAATGACAATCCATGAAATAAAAATTTATTCCATACAAAAGTTGACAGAATGCTACAACACAAGCTTGTTTACAGTACTTACAGGAGGCAACATTTTACTTCAGCTGCTCTTTAAGTTTGGCAAATGAGCACATCTGTACAGTGACTGTACAGATGTACATACTGAACTGTTAACTCTCTAGCTAAGTGGCAAAGAGCGTGATGCTATGACTCTGGTAGATGGCACTTTAAAAAGCACAGCAGCAGCTGCGTACATTTAATGTGTTTATAATACAAGCACAATGCTTAGAAGTGAGATTTAAAGCCAAACAATGAAGTTGTTGTGAAGCACCAGATAATCAATATTCTTTCCTGTTAATGCCCCCCCCCAAAAATATACTCATTCAGTGTTGTTTTCATGGGAGCCAAAGCTGAAGTAAAACAATTCATAACATCAACAGAAAGAGATTTCAGATCTTTTGTTCTGTGAACGTTAGCAGCCTGATGGAGCAGAGGGAGGCAGGTTTAATACTGACAACAGTGAAGCTATAGAGAAAAATCCTCCCACAAGACACAGGAATGATCAGTTTCCAAACATCTGGAATAGAAACAGATGGAGCTGAAACCTCACATATAAATGTAATGACCTCCAGATGCTTACATCAAAATATTCGGTCCTTTTGACAAGCTCCAAAAGACAAATGTTCTACTTTACATAAAGCCAGTAAAGTGCTTTGGACTTTTGTTTTCTGTAACTCATGGAGTAATGAGTGAAGATGAGCCTTGGCTTCAGGCTCTATTCTCTGCTGTGGGGGTTGTGTGGTGGTGGAGCTCCTTCCACAGGAGCTGAACTGGGAACTGAGAGCAGCTGCCCGGCATGCATGCGTTCATTGACACGCAGCTGACACCCATCCTGCAGCATGCGCAGAGCGATTCTAGCAATGTTGCGAGAATCATCCAGCCCCGAGTGAGGACGACCTTCGTACTTGAGACCGAGCTTCTCCAACATGGTGCTCAGCTTCGTCTGAGTGCGGGGAACCTGGAAGAAGGATAAAATACTGCTGTAATGTCTGCTAATACTGCTAAATAGTACAATTAGTGCAAGAAACTCAAAATAAAAAAATAAATAAATAAAGATAGGCAAAAGGTCCAGAATGCTCTATTACTGACTTTTGCATTCACATTTGGCTGATTTTTGGTTCATTAAAGACATTCTTTAGTTGCAAATGTGGTACATTCGGTTAGTCTAAACTAAAGGTGAAACCTTGCCCTGACAGCCGAAGGCGCACCACATGCACATTGTCCCCAGCCTTCCACTCTCTTTATCTTCTCCCTCATTTCATATCCACCTCTCTGTGACCCACTTACAAATAAAGGCAAAAATTACCCCAAGATAACATGCACACACAAAAAAGCCAGACCTTGTAGAAGTTCCCGTACGACTTCCGTATGTTGATCCATTTCTTTGCAAAGTGAGGATATCTGATCCGGCTGAGACGGCACTGGATGTTGAGGAACTTGCTCATATCCCAGGCGCTAGAGAAGATGTAACAGTCAGTTAAAGATTCACTGAAGAGAGACAAAGTTTGTTCAAATTCTGCAACAGTGCTGAAGTAAAACATCCTACCCATCGGTCAGAATGGCATATTTATATTTTGTCCCGAGCTCACGCTCCTGAAGCCAAGCGACAGCTCGCTGAAGGACTGCTGGGAATGGATCTGCTTCGTCAACCATACTCTGTTCGACAAAACAAACACTTTATTCCAGCTAAGAAGGAACTTTTTAATTCACGAACGTGACACTGACATCACAGAAGACGCTTTGATATAAAGTGAGCTCAGCCAACCTGAGTTATTCCTGTTAACTTCACACAGAACTCTGAAAGCTGCGGGTTCAACTCTGGCTTTACATATTCCTGGAAACTGTCCACCTGCACAGTGAATGTGGAAAATCCTCTTTACAAATTCATTATTCACCTTAAGAAAAGAACAATCTGGCCTTAATCGCAGACTCAACTTACAATTTCTAAGGTGTGTGTGTTGACGAGAACCATAGGGAACTCTATGATTTCATGAAGGAAGTCTGAAGGGTTATCCTCTTCACATGTGGCTTCAAAGTCCACCACACAGATGTAGTCATAATAGGTATCAGTGGGTCCTCCCTCAGCTGCAGACTGCATCAGCTTCTGCTTCTTATAGTGGCTCTTCAACCTCTTCTTCATCACATCTTTCACTCCTCTTTAAACACAAAGACGGGAAGCTTTAAGAAACACTGGAAATTCTGTAGACTGATTTAAATCTTGGTTGAGTCAAGTGTAGGATCAACAACTGAGAAACAACATAGAAGAAAGCAAAGAGGATAGCTGACTGTATTGCTGTTAGTTACCTTGTGTCAAGCTTCAGCTCTGCTAACTTGATCCGAAGCTCCTCCTTGGACATGCGGTTAATGTGTCCATTTGCCAAAGCGATCTCTTTGTACACAGGATGACTGAAGTCACCGCTAGACTGAGATGGCGACACCTGAGAAGCAGATTCTCCAGAAGGGCATAATCTGCTGCAGGACTTGGCCTGAAGAGGAGTGATCTCATCAGTATGTATTATGGGATGTTGTAAATGAAAATAACATATACAGCATTAGCAAGCACATGAAGATAATATGTCAGCTAAAATCCAAAAAAAGTCTAAATCTTTTCTACACCTCACAGAAACGTCGCGACCTTTCTAAATCAAGAGAGGAGGTTTTTTTAAGTCCCCACAAGGCATTTCTAAATCAAGAGAGGAGGTTTTTTTTTTAAGTCCCCACAAGTCCCCAAAGCGCTTCAGTGCTTCTTAGTAGAGACTCAACATGTCTCTGGACTTCATTTGGAGGGTTGAACACCACTCTTCCACAAGATATTCCCTCATTTTGGTGCATGAATGGTGGTGGTGGACAGCGCTGTCTGCCACATCAGTACAACATCTCCAGTGGGTGTTACGATCGGACAACTGGAATTCATTTACACTTCTCTCATCTGCTTTACACCAACAAAAACTATTTACAGTGAGTCACAATAACAATGTTATGGCATTTACAACTGATTTGGTTTTCATGGAACATAAATACAGTATGTACAGGTGTATACCAATAAAAAGTGCCAGATATTTAACTGTGTTTAACTGCAACAAGTAATATTTTCTGGCAAAGCAGATTTTAATTATACACAGCTGCCAGTTTAATTTCTCCCCTACCACAATCTGATAGTTTTATACAACAACCCTACAATGAAGTCCACATTTTCTTTAATATTCTTTTTTAATTGTTTTAAAGAGGTATAGATTAAAATTTGGTCCTGC